TTTCAAGAACTCATATGAAAGGTAATGAGGGAAAAGACTGGAAGGGGAGAGGGACAATTGACCTAGAAGCCTTAGGAATCATAATAAAGGCTAGACATTCCTGGCTGCCTGACCCTAGGGAGAAAGACTTGTCTAAAAGATTGTAGGCGAGTAAATGGAGTTTGCTTTGGTTTCCTGATGTTACCACCCCTCTGGTCAAATTCCTGCACTCAGATATTAAATTGACACAGAATCAGAGTTGGAGTCCGAAAATTCTTTGGAGTGCAAACTTCCTTCTTTTTTTTAAACTCGGGGCTTTCCTGACACTTTTCCTGCTAAGATATTGTCTCTGTGGGTAGTTCCCTATCCTAGCTGAAACAGTGCTCTGCAGAAGAAGCCAAGGTGTTATTGGGCTTTTAGATATTTGCTGATGGTCTCAATAGCCCTCTGCAGCCAACCCTCTGCAAGGGGACAGGGAAATCGCTGCCAGTGGACCCTGTGGGTCAGGCTGAGACCCCCCACTCATGTTACCTGATTTTCTTGGCCTACTCTGCCATATCATCTTGCTCATTCTTGCCACCTTCATTCTTGTCACCAGCAAGTAGATGTCTGCTGTGTGCCAGAGCATTGTGCCAGGCACCAGGGCTACCTTGGGGAAATGAGGTGGGACTTTTGCCTTGGGAGCTTTCTCACTTTAAGCTATGCATTTGGTATTTTCTTTTTTTGGAGTCTTGCTCTGTCACCCAGGCTGGTGCAGTGGCACGATCTTGGCTCACTTCAGCCTCTGCCTCCCAGGTTCAAACGATTCTCTTGCCTCAGCCTCCTGAGTAGCTGGGATTATAGGTGCGTGCCACCACGCCTGGCTAATTTTTGTATTTTAGTAGAGATGGGGTTTTACCATGTTGGTCAGGCTGGTCTCCAACTCCTGACCTCATGATCCACCTACCTAGGCCTCCCAAAGTGCTGGGATTACAGGCATGAGTCACTGTGCCTGGCCACATTTGGTGTTTTCACAGTCTATGGTCAGTGTTATGCTGGAGCACTTCAGGAGCACCTCCCAAGTTTAGAGAGGGAGGAAGACTTTGCCTCCCTAAGCTTGTCTGTTTGTGTCCTTATTGGAGAATGTATAATAGCAATCTTGACCTAGAGCTAGCACTCCAGAAGCCCTCATACTTACTTCCATCCTGCCTCTATTTTTGTGTTACTGTGGGCAAGATAAACCAAGAGCTTAATTTTCCTTATCCTTCAAACAAAGATAATATTCGCCCTGCCTTCCCCACAGAACTGTGGAGCGGTTAAATAAAATACCAGCTGTGAAAGTTCTTTGGAGTGTTCAGGGCAGTGCAGACTGAGGCATTTTGAAGTTAGTATCTGTGGTAGACCCAGAGAAGAAGTCAAGGAGATGTCACAGCATCACAATGGAAAGTTTTAAGTCTTCTTATTTTTTGTTGCTATGAAGAACCGAAATGTCTTAGTTGAGCAAGTACCTTTATGCTAGGAATTACCAAGATGAGGATCGGGCAGCCCACACCACAAGTCACGATCTTTCCTGAGAAGCAGGAACTACATTGCAGCCTTGCAAAGCCGGGGGAGACAGTTATTGGCCCCCCAGAGGGGCCAATCATAGGTGAATGACTGGGCTTTTTTGGAGTTTGTCAGAGATAGTTTCTATACATGAGAAACATTTCCTGCGGGGCAAGACTATACTAAGATAATGTCTCATTGTCCTTTTTTTATCTTAGTCCACTCAAGAATAAGGGCCGTGTCTCTTCATCTTAGCCCTCAAAGAGTCCCTACCCAATGATAGGCATTAACCAGATGAAGGAATGAGTGGACATAAATGAAGAGCATTCAGAGCTTGTGAACTCGTTATAATAATGGACACTAACTCTGTGCCAGGCACTGTTTTAAGTGCTTTACATGTGTTAAGTTATTTAATCCTCACACAACCCTATGAGGTAGAGCTCTTACCATCCTCTGTTTACTGAGGAAGAAACTGGGGCATTGAGAGGTTAAGTAATCTGTCCAAGGTCACACAGGCTGGTGGTCTGGTCCCAGCCTGTAACAGTCACTGCACTGCATGGCCTCCTGCAAGGGAAAGAGCTTGTACTTTGGGGCCAGGCCCTATCACTAAAATGCAGATTATTATCATTTCCCGCTTTAGAGTGCTAGAAAGATTCAGAGAGCTAACACGCAAAGCCACTAGAATATAGTGGCCATCCGTGGGTATTAGATCTTGTGCCCTCATTTGGGGTCCACTCATGTGGACTCTGCAGCCAAATTCTGTTTCATGATCAACTATGGAAAACTCAGCATGTGGTTAAATCTCTGGATTATTCAGGGCTCAGAGAGGAGGGACTCACACCAGGCCTTACAGAATGCACCTGTGTACTCTGTGGCCAGAGGGGAGTTGGGCATCCTCCCCTGCCAGGCATTCAGTTCTTTTTGTGCACCCCCACCACAGATTGGTAGAGGGCTGTTCTAGATGAGGTGGGGACACCCTCTCTGCTCTCGAAACTCAGAGTGTAACATTGGGCCCTCTAGTCTGATAGGACTCACAGAGCTTCGTGAACTCACTCTCCTATCCGCTAATCTTTGCGGTAGTTTGATCTTCCCATACTGCATAATTTCAGTTTATCTAAAGACCTCACTGTCTTCCATTAATACATTTTTTTCCTAATGAGACAAATATAAAACTGCCAACTTTTCAGACCCAACTGCTATTTTATTCCATTTAATCAACATTTTTTCCCCTCTGAAACTAGGCCATCCATTTAATCCTCTTTTTCTAATAAAATTGCTCAAAATTTACAGAACTGCCATTTCATTGGTTTTATATCCTAATGTATTACTCATCTCGTTATAAATTTAGTGCTGATGTATATTTTCAAGCATTTTGACTGGTAGATAATTTTAAATAGAGACTAATTTACTGATTTGCCTTAGTGACTTATTTGTGGTTAATAATAAGCCATTAATTAAAATTTTAATTAATGTTTTTAAAGAGAATGATATATTCACGTCACTTGAAATCCAAGATACAGCAAAGGATCTGGGGTGAAGTCTCACTGCATGCTTCTCCCCGGCTCCTCATTTTTCCTCTTTGGAGAAAACCAGTGTCATCATTTTTTGGGTGGATTTCCAGTGACATTCTCTGTAGATATAAGCACAAATTATAAGCCACATGCCCATACACATTCCTCCACCTTCTTTTGCTCAAATAGTTGCTTATTATACCCACTATTCTGCAATTTGCTTTATTTACTTAATGATACCATTTAAATTATTCTGACTCAGTTGATTCTTAAAAAGCTTCCTTTTTTTTTTGATGGCTGCCTAGCTTTCCACTGTGAGACTGGACTGTGATTTATTTACTCAGTCTCCTTCTGGTGGACATTTCAGTTGTTTCCAACTTTTTATGAATACGTGTGATGCCGTGGTGAACAATCCGGGATATATGTCATTTTTGCATGAATGAGAGTTTATCTGGAGGATAAATTCCCAAAAGTAAAATTGCTGAGTCACAGAGTATATGCATTTGTAGACTTAAAATATTGCCAACTTGCCCTCCATAAACGTGATTTCAGTTTATACTGCTACTAGCAATGTATGAGCATGCCTATTTTCCTGTTTCTTCATATCCTCCCCAGCTCAGTCATTAAAGCTTTACATTTATCAATAAGGTAGATTTTAAAAATGATGTCTGTTTTAACTTACCATCAATGAGGTTGACTATCTTTTCACGTCTGAGGTCCTTAGATTCTTTACTCTGTGAACAAACTCTTAATATCCTTTCCCTGTTTTTCTATTTGTTTTTCTATGTTTATTTGTTGTTCTTTCTGTTAATTGATTTTAGGGAAAATGCTTTGCATATTAAGGAAATTAGTCTTTTGTCTTGATATGAGTTGTAAATTTTTTTCCCCAAGTTTACCTCTTTTCCTTTGATTTCGTTACTGATTTCTTTGCCATGTGAATTTACCCCACTTCATGAGTGTTGATTGCTTTGCTTTGAGGTTCGTTTGTTTTTTTAATTCTCTAATTTCTTCCAGTATTGTTTTATAATTTTTTGAATATTCCAGAATATATTTATTATAAAGTATGAGTTACAGAATCAGCCTTCTTTTCCCATGCAATGGTTGTTAATTTCAACCTTGCTTTTAATTTGTATCCTACATATTGTATGTCCTGTCAATGTCTCTTATACCAACCCTGTGCCTGTAACATAAGTCAGGCTGATTTAGGATCACAGATCATTTTTTCATGAGACAGCTTGGCTTGAGGGAACAATCGTTGTTTTCAGTGTTGAAGCCGACCTGGTTTTGAATGGCAGCTTAGCAACATCTTACCTATACAACCTCAGACAAGTTACTTAACCTTTCTGAACTTTTACAACCTCATTTTATAAAATGTGGTTGATAATACTTCATTTTGCAAACTTGTGACCATTAGAGATAATATTTATAAACTGCCTTCTCGGTGCCTGGCACACAGTAGTAGATAAACGGGGGCTATTGCTATTGTCATCATCATTCCCAATGTCAGCAATGTGATGTCAGTCTGAATGAGGACATTATATGCCCTCAGTGTGCAGCCATTCTTGAGTAAAAACTGGTGCTCCTGGAAATTGGATGTCGGGCCTCCCTACCTAAGCCAGAAGACATCACAACTACCCTAGTAAAGATCACGCTGGCATTTTGAGGGCCACGTTTATAACCTCTGGGCAGAGATTCAACTGTTAGGTGTCTATTAAAAGTGCACTTCGCTGGAAGGCAAAAAGTGTCTGATTATGTAGTCTGGTTTTATAAGCAGGTCTATGAAATTAAGTTGGCATTGTTAGCGCTGTTTGGACATATAATGATCTAAGAAATATTATATGATCTATATAATCTCATTTCAGAAGCTATTCAATCCTGTCCTACATCTAGTAGTCCTCCAGTTTTTAGAACATAGAAGTCTTCCTTCCGCTAGGTTTTCTATTTAGATCTGAAAGTAAATGTTCAATGTTGTTTTTCTATTTTCAGGGATGACTCTGTTCCAGAAGACAACATCTGGAGAGGTATCCTCTCTGTTATCTTCTTCTTTCTTATCATCAGTGTGTTAGCCTTCCCCAATGGTAAGTGATGTCATGTGTTACCACATTTCTCCTATGTGTTGTGCCCTTCTAGTTTTTTAGAAATGAGTCATCTAGAAGATGGAATAAAGAAATAATCTGAGTTTTGTGTAGGGTTTAGGTGCACAGGCTCTGGAGGCAGACTGCCCACTCTGCCACTTCCTAGCTGCAGGGAAGCCCCCTAAGAGTGCTAAGAGTGCTTCAGTTTCCTTCTATAAAATGGAGGTAACAGATAGGTATGGTTGTGAGGGTTAACTCAATTGGGGCATGTTAAACATTGTGAATATGACTGACAAATTATAATTGTGGTTTCTCAATAAATGTGGTTCTTTCTGTGGCTGTTTTTGTTATTATCAGATGAGTCATAAAATACTCCATTACTGCTGAGTTCTTCCTTTTTGCTAAGGACAGGGTCAATGCCATAATGAGTATTACTTAAATGGGTTGTTCCGAGTGATCTTTTATCACCATAAACTTTGCTGATTATGCATTTGGGATATGAATTTTCATGAGCAGGAAAAAAAGACAGTTATTACTGTCTTTTTTATTACTGTGAATTGTGCCCCCATCATGATTATGGAGTGAGGCAAAACTTTTGTTTAAAAAGCAAGTTTGGTATTCTGTCATGCTCACAATTCATCCCTTTCCTCCAAATTGTTCCTTAAAAGTTGCTTTCTTTTTTCTTACTCCCTTTCCGTATCTTCCCACTAGAATATTCTCTCGTGTTCTCCATAACCATTTCTTTTTATTTCTTTTTTGTTTTGTTTTGTTTTGTTTGTTCTCTGAAGTGAATGAATTGAACCAAATCTCCATAACCATTTCTAAATGCTCACTCTTGTCTTCTATTTTTTTAAAATGATATTTGGAAATTGTTCCAGTCTTTCTTATGGGTTATTCTCCATAACCATAGGCCGGTCCTACTTGGGTTTTAAATGTCATACTTTAGGCTGCATTTCTTCTGTAACTGCCCATGCTATTCAGTAGGCTATCATGTGTAATATAAGAAGCTCATTATGAATGTTATCAGATGCTACCTGGAAATGTTCCATGTCAAGGCCTTCAGGCTTCCTAAGATGGTAGCAGTGGAATTTTGTTCTATTTTTTAAGATATGAGTCATCTAGAAGAAGATAGATTTAAAAAAAAAATCTGAGTTTTGCATCATAGTTAAGAGCATGGGCTCTGGAGGCAGACTCTTATGTGGCACTGTGTCTATAAGAATGTAGTGGTTTTAATATGTAGCAGAGTAGCATAATAATCACACTGATAAAACCATGACTCTGAATCCCTCAGAGAATGAATTGTTCTACATAGCCAAGTTATTTGGGAGCTGAGTTTAGCTCTCCAAACACGCAAGCTTTTAAGTCAAAAAGAGTTTTTTAATGAAAATCTGCATACCTTATGCAGATAAGTCAAGTGTAATTTGGCTTTTCCATAAGGATTGATGGTTCTGGTAATGCTCAGTTATCAGGGTATGAAGACAATGTATGTGTAATATGGGAAAGTCATGGAATGAAGGGGTGTGGACCCTGCCATAGGATTTGTTTTATTTTATTTTTTTATTTTTGGAGATGGAGTCTTGCTGTGTTACCCAGGCTGGAGTGCAATAGCTATTCACAAGTGTGATTATAGGGCACTGCATCCTCAAACTCCTGGGCTCAAGCTATCCTACCTCAGCCTCCTGAGCAGCTGGAACTGCAGGCATACACCACCACACCCAGCTAATTTTTTGTATTTTTTGTAGATAGAGATGGGGTCTCACTATGTTGCCCAGACTGGTCTTGAACTCTTGGCATCAGGCAGTCCTCCATCCTCAGCCGCCTGAGCAGCTAGGATTCCTGCTATCAAATTTGCTGAAAAAAATTCCTGATGTCAAACAACTTTTTGGCTATTTGCCAACTTTCCTTTCCCTCCCATTGAATTTTAGGTTAGAGGAGAGCTTGGGTGTTATATGGATCCTCCTCTCCTTCAAGAGTGCCAGCCAAAGCTGGGTTTCCTGAGCGCTGGGTCCTGACCTTTCCATACAAAGGTGGCATACGAATACAACTCAAAGCAAGGAAATGGCAAACTCTATCTCAGGTTACATACCAACTCAATGCAAGGAAGACACGTGAAGCCTCTAAAATGTGAATAGGTGACTATTCAGATGATAGTGACAATTTATTCCCCTTCCCCTCAGCCATTCTGCCCTCTGCATCCTGTGATCTGCTGCTTCCTTGTCATCACTCAATGCCATGACCATTTCTCTTATTTCTTTTATGTCCTCTTTCCTGTCTTTGTTTTTCCCCTATCAGTCTGTCAGAGCAATGATACGTGCATATGTGCCCAGGAAACTGATCAGTGCAAAGGTATCAGGTCTGTTCTTTAAGCCTTCAGCTTTCCTTGATGGTGTTTCTTGCTGCTTAGTTCTCAAGGGCTTCTTTCTGGCTCTTTATAAAAAATTTGCTGTTTCTGAGTCCAGAGCTGTTTTAGAAGTATGAGGATTCTAAAAGATTAGCCTCCCAGTCACTGTGATTTTTACAGCCATCTCTTCTCTGAGTCTTTAGCAGGAGCTGAGTATTGGGGCTTCATTAGCAGATGTTTTTCTTGAGGTACCAAAGGCACTGAAGGTTATGGGATTAGATCTATTCGATGTAACACTTTGTGTGATTTCTGCTGAGTTTGCCTCTGTTCCCCAATGAAGTCCTCTAATCTTCAAAGTTGACTTCACCTGCTCAATCTCTCATTGTGGGACTGTGCCTTTGTTTTGATTTTGGAAAGATAAAACTGAAGCTTGGTTTTCTTATCCTAGCTGCCTGGACTTTGTGATATACACAAAGTGGGAAGGAGCCACAGAGCTCACCTAGTTCAGCCGTCTCAGTTTACCAGTGAGAAGGCTGAAATGTGCCACCACGTCCCCCAGCCTTTGATGTCAGCCTGCTGGCAGGGCCCCAGCAGTGCACTTTCCTTCCTCAGTGCTGTTCTGGTCATATCTCTCATTAGGTCCTTTATCTCTGCAATGCGCTTTATCTCTAACTTTCTCCATAATATGTTTCTATCTCCTCCTGTTTCCCTTTTTTTTCTGTCATCCCCTGGCTTGTCTTTTCCCCAGGGTGGGGTCTCAGTTGGCCTGGACCTAGCATGCTTTGCATCCCACAGGAGGTGAGTGGTGACTGAGTTGATGCTCCTCCGTTGCCCATGTGTTGTCTGTGACTGGCAAGAGCTGACACATCGATCTAACCCTTCCTACTTTCTCCTGTTTCTACTCTATTTCTGCCTTACCATCCTTTCCCCTCCTCCCGTGTACTTACACACACACACACGGACACACACACCATTCACCGAGAGGCAGACCCTGCCAAAAATAAGGTTTCAGATAGCTATGGAAGCTATAAACAAGGAGGATGACAGCTCAGTGCCCTGTGCCGGAGGGACTGGGACCTTAGTCAGCGAAGGGAGGACATGGATTCTCTTGAAGCCATGTGTATATAGCAAACGTACTGTGCGTACCTCATTTGTTTTCTGAAGATCTGTTTATTTACACTTTACCTAAGAGTAGTAAAACTAACTTTTTCACATGAAAGAATGTTACCGAATATTTTTAAATTAGGAATGGCTTTGGAAGGTGCCAGTGGAAATAGTGGGGAGTTGGGAGGGCCCTGGGCAGGGTACCCCTGAGGTGTGTGGCCTCCCCTATCAGACCAGCTCTCAGGCCACAGGACTCCCCAGGAGCCCGCGCAGAGTGGCTGCCTCTGTGAGTGGGGTATACGTGCCCTTTCTCCCTCAGTCTTGTGCCCTTATTTTCCATTCTCCTCACCCTTGGCACGTATTCTTAAATTAAGTAATGAAAAATGAATGGGAGAAATGGAGCTCCAAACCTGCCCTCTCCTTCACAGGCAGTTTTAGGGAAGTGCCTGCAGTGGATCGCATGCCCGGAACGATTTTTTGGCAACTTGAAATGCGTTTATGCTTGACCTGGTAAACGCTGCCCTGCACAGCTGTGTATAGGCCAAAAGTGGATTCTGTTTATTTGTCTCATCGGGTATGTGTGAGTTCATATATATTATCTGTGTGGTAGACTTGGTCATCTCCTGCAGGAAGGGAGCCATGTGATTCTTTTTGTAGAGTCTAAATAACAAAGAAGGCCCTTGACTTTCTCCATAGTGTTTTATAACAGGATGCTTTTGGCTACCAGTGATAGAAAATGCATTTCAAGAGGCTCGGCACGGTGACTCATGTCTGTAATCCCAGCACTTCGGGAGGCCAAAGCGGGTAGATCACAAGGTCAGGCGTTGGAGACCAGCCTAGCCAATATGGTGAAACCCTGTCTCTACTAAAAATGCAAAAATTAGCCAGGCGTGGTGGCATGTGCCTATAATCCCAGCTACTTGGGAGACTGAGGCAGGAGAATCACTTGAACCCGGGAGGCGGAGGTTGCAGTGAGCCAAGATTGTGCTACTGCACTCCAGCCTGGGCAACAAAGCAAGACTCCATCTCAAAAAGAAAAGAAAAAAAGAAAGCACATTTCAAAATGGCTTAAACAATAAGGAAATTTTCTTACATAACAAGAAGTTCTGAGATAGGGTGCTTGGAGGGCTGGCTAATTCAGTGACTCAGTGACCTGCGAAGACCCAGCTTCTTTACCCCTTTCTGTTCTGCCATCTTCTAGCCTGCACTCTGACCTGCTGGCCTTGAGACAGCTCCTGCAGGGCCGGCCATGTAGTGGCAGGCAATGGCCAGCAGATGAAGAGATCATCTCTTCTTGTGTGTCTTTCAGTTGAGTAGCGACGCCTTTTCTAGCGACCCTCCAGCACACTTCCATGTCTTTGACTAGGGTTGGGCCACATGTCTCTTCTCTACCAGTTCCAAGGACAGAAATTTATAGTGCTTAGAGGAGAAGATGTTCAACAGATATTTGTTGGCTAGAAGAATGCCAGGGGACTAGAATTACCTCTGCTGGTTTAGAATCCACCCCTGAGTTATATGGCAGAGGAGTGGACATTCAAACAAAATTTGGTGTGACAAT